TTAGAAATAGTCTTGGTTTATATCACCTGGATATAAATCTGGATTTTTATCACCTCCAAAACCATCAGAAACACACCCTAAATGACTGATATCACTGGGAACTCTGACCCTGCTCTTTAGTTCTGCCAAGCATTGATGGCAACAGCACCAAAGCCTGCATATTTAACAGTAATGTAACGTTATAGCTGGAATCAGCAGAGACCCAACAGGAAAACACAGCCAGATTTGTGTTGGTACCAGCAGTTACCACGTGCTGCTCAGTGTTGCCCCAGGGTCAGGAGCAAGGATTTCCTGGGATTTTGAAGGAAAGGAAGGTTAGATCTGATGCTGTCACAGCCACCCCGTTACATGCAGTTCTGTGCTTGGCAAAACCAAACCCCCGTGGTGCTGGGAATCATTTGGAGTCAAGGTTTGTTCCGTTGCTGGGTGGAGCCTGGGGTTTGAGTTGATCTGTAGGGAGCTGCTGAGCTAAATTTAAGGCTGCTGTGGTTAATGGCTGCCTTCTTCCTGACAATTTTGGTCTGGCAGGGTTCCTTCCCTGGAGCTGGGCCTCAGGCAGAGTGAGGGTTTCCTCAGCCAGCAGGTTTGTACTGGATTTGAGATGACTTTTCTGGCTTATTTAAGGGGTTTTGTCACCCACTGTCACTGCATCTGCCTCATTCTGTGTCCCACAGAACCCCCCTGCTGGGGTTTGATTTGACTCAGGTCCTTGCAGGTGTGAAGGTGGCATTGGCAGGAGGCTGATCCAGAGCAGCCTCTGGGTTTTATCTCTTGGTACCATAAATAAGTCATAAAAATTACTTGTTGCCTGCTACCTGCAATTTGGACAAGCAGACACGAGGGGCTATCAAGCTGTGGAGTTTTGTTTAGGGCTCTGGCTACCACTCAGTTTTTTGCTTCATCCTGTGTGAAATAGTAATTATTTTCCTTTTTACTTGCCTGTACTTAGGGGCAGCCTTATGGTTATGCTTCTCCCTGCAGTGTCCCATTGACCCATGTCCTTCCAATAGGACTTGGACCTGATTTTGGCTAAATGTGGATGAAACTCTGCCCGTTGTGGCTCTGTGTGAACAGGCAGCTGCACAGAGGAGAGATTTTTAGTGAAAGGCACACTGAGGACAGAGCCCAGTCCTCTGGGATATCTGCTGCTGGCACAGTGTTCCCGTGGCTTTCAAAGTTTTATTTTACTCAGGCAGAGGCAACAAACCGCTACCAGTGGTGGTGATGACAGCAGAAGGAATGATTGCCAAAAAGAGGGTGACATCATTTCAGCTCGTGGCCCTAGATAAGATATGAAGTACCATTCCTTAATCATACTCTGATAAGAGCGAGTGGCTTCCAAACAGTTAATAAGCACAACACTCGTGCCTTCCCAGCACAAAATATTTTGCACAGCAAAGATGTTTTAGTTTTTTCACAGAAAAAGAAAGTCTCAGCCTAGTGCTGAATGTGGGATGTTTTTTTCCCCCCTCTTCTCTTTGTAGTTTCATCCCAGAAGTTATGGCTGCTGAGCCCTTCAGGAGCTGCCAGCCCTGCATGGCAGGGATAGCTGCATCACTGCTTCCACCTCCTGGAGCAGACAGTGAATGAGGATTCTGGGTTTTATGGATTTTCTTGCCATTCTTTTACTCGATTTCTTCTGATTTTCCCTCCTTGCTCTTAAGAAAAAAAATATACCATTTTTTTCTTGGCAAGTGGGCAGAGAAATTCCTGGCCGCAAGGCTACAAAAAGAATAAGAGGCAGGGACAGACAAGTTGCTGAGTAACAGTTTGTGGGACTGGGACTGTTGCTGCTGCTGATTCTTAGCACTTCTGCCCTCTCTCCCTTCCCGTGTGGGTAGGGAAGGGCACACAGGAGAGCACATGGGTAGTGTAGATGAGCCTTGGTCTGTAGGGTGGAGTGCTGTGAAGGGATGAGTATTTCCATGTGGGAGAGTACCTGGGGAGATGATTCCACCCTCTCCCTCTAGATGCCAGCAGAACACCTTGCTGTAAGGGATTGCTTCCTGAATGTCTTTCAGAATATTATTATTATTTGTTGTGCTGCTTGATTACTCTTCAGAGAAATCGGAGTTACCTTTGTAATATATTGCCCTGCTGCAGAACAAACTGCATCCTTTGGAGAGCTGAGAAAAGAAAGAGCACCAGGAGTTTAAACATGTTCTTTTATGAATATCTCTGTCTGCAAACACAAAACATGTTCTCACCTGTGATAAATATCTCTGTATTTCACAGGGAAAGAGGAAATCAGAGGCTTCTTGGCAAGCAAGATCCTTAGCCCTTGGAGCAATCCTGAGTGTGGTGGTTTGACTTGTGCATCCTTATGAAGCAGCTGAGGGAGCTGGGAGCAGAGTGAGCTCCCTGCCTTGGACTGTGTTTAATTAATGGCTGGCCCATTTAATGCCTGTCTCCCCTCTGGCCTGGGACAGTTCTCCAGAGCAGGCTCCCTTCTGTCGCTGAGGAGGATCAGGATCAGGCTGAAGCACCTGGTGCTGCTGCTCTGCACTTTCACACCCACCTGCTCTCAGGGACTGCTGCTCTGAATGACTTTTTGGCATCAGCACCAAACACGAGGTGGTCCCTCTCTGTTCCCTCAGAGCCAGCAAGGATCCTGGTGCTTAGAGAGGAGGCCTTTTCAGGGATCAGCTCCTTTTCCCAGTGTGTTTCTGCTGGGAGACTCAGTGACCGATTTCCAAGTGCTGTTAGAGGCAGAGCAGTGCTCGCTTCTGCCATGACACCCTGGGGATCCCCCACGGCACTGTTGGCTGTTGTGGACTTGCTTTGCTTGGACGTGGTTCTTTGGAAAGAAGAAAAACACTGACAACTGAATGGAGAAGGATCTTGATAAGACTTTCTTCTTAGGAAGAAAAGCCAGAAAAAACCTACACAAGTGGTTATAAGAACGCATTGAAATGCTCCGTGTGACCTTCCCCTCACAGAGACACGGGACAAGTAGAGCTGCAGGAACTGTAAGTGGAATATTAATTATATGTTTTTAATGGGTTGGCTTTATATAGCTTTTGAAATTGTTGAGAGGTGTGTGGTTACCCCAGTTGTGCTGGCAAAGGTTGGTGTGTTTGAAGCTGGAGGTACAAACAGAGTTTGCTGTTGAGTGCAAATGGGAAGTGGAGGAGGAACAACCAGGTGGAGCAAAGCTGGGAGTTTCCTAACGTGGCTTTGTGTGTGGATGGGAAGGTTTCTGTTCAGCCCCTTGGTTGTTCTCACTGCTCCAGTCCCCAACAGCACTGAGAGCTCATTCCACTGCTTGGAATATTGGGAATACTGGAAATATCCAAACTGGTTATGAGTTTTGTTTACAAGGACAGGTCTGGGTTTTGAGGTCGGGAGTGGGGATGACATTTTTTTTTTCTGCAGTTATACTTGGATTTTGTAGAAACCATAAAATGGACTTCAAGATAACTTTGCTGTATTCATTAAAATATTGCTTGTTGTGGTTTGGTTTCTAATTCAGTGGATGCAGCTACAATAAGATACCTAGAGGAGATAAAGTGGTGATTGAGTTTTTCTAGAGGTTTACATCCTTTTTAAGAACTAACAGTAGCAGTGCTTCCAAAGAAAGGTTTTATACTTGAATACTTATTTTGAAAATGTTGTGACTTACTCAAATGAGAGTTGCTCTCTTGAATAATTGTCATTTTGCATGTTCTTGGGCTGCAGCAGCTTTTTACAAGACACGGGAGTTCTGGGTGGGAATACAGGAAGGACTTCTTTTATCCAAGCTGGAATTTTTCAAGTACAGCAGAATAAAGCCATTTGCTTGTGTAACTTTATAAATTATTTCAGTGTCTATATAACACAACCAAGTAAGACTTGTTGTAGCTTAGCACAAATATCAGGAAAGAGTGAAGAGAAATCAGTTGTGACAAACCCACATCTCACAGTGGGAAAGGTTCAAGAGACTGAAGGTGGTGTGAGGTTGCACTTCCAGGTGGTGCCAGGTTGGAGTGTGCCCTTAAAAGCACACTTAAAAGCTCGTTAGCCCTTAAAAAGGCAACCCATCTACGTCCTAAGGACCTCGCTGCCACCATCCAAGCTCGCTTGGCCCCTGCAGATGAACCTTAGGATTAAAGGGTGGGCTCAGTTCCACGCACACTGTGTCTCACCTAAAAAATCCAATGCGCAGGCTGGAAGGTGTAAAGACCTTCCCTGGATCTTCGCTCGCGAAGACTGGCCGTTATGTTGATTATAAGCTGCAGTGTGGTAAAGGGTAATTAGATGTGTCCTCTCAAATTTCATTTTAAACAACGTCCTCTTACTTTGGACTAACTCACAGTTAAGCTGGAACAATCTTTATTTTCAGTTGTGGTATCTATTTTTTTTGTCCTCTCTTAGGGCTAATCTTCAAGACAATATAAATTGCTATTCAGAAATCTCCTATTTTGCTCCACTTTGTTTCTGTTTCTTGTAAACCAAAATACCCCCGCCAAGGTCTCTGTACTGTACAAACACAAGGGAATATATGATCTCTGCCCCAGTTCAGGAAAATGAGTCTTTGACTCATTTGCTCACTTCAGATGAAATAATGACTATCATCTGTGCCTGCTCACTAACCCTTCCAGAAAATGCAGGAAAAATCAGACCAGAAATAAATATGAAAACTCAAGTCCAAACAAAGAAAGGTCCGAACTACCAGAGTGTGAAAATAAGAGATTTTCCAAGTGAAAGGTGACTCCATCCTTCTCTGTTTGCATTTCCCTTCTGTTGCGAGTTTGAGTCACAGGGCTCAACCAAGCTCAGGAGACACACACAGCAGGAACCTGTATCTGTTCAGGGACAGCATCATTCCCAGTGCCACAAACTCCCATGAAAGGGCTGCCCCCACAGTGGTGAGCATGGCACAACCACCTTCTGCACAGGCAAAACGAAAGCGCTTAAGACACAAGAGATCACAAATTTACCATCACAAAAACATTTCTTTACTAAACGCTGAAAGTTTCTTCCAAAACAACAAAACGAGTTGATTTCTCGGGCTAAACATTGTAGATGGTAAAGACTTTAACCAAGAACCAGAACTCAGCTCTGTAGCTTTTATTGCTGTTAATACTGGAAGCATCAAAACAGAGCAGAACAGAGAGTCTCTTGCACTGTACAGCACCTTCTCCTCGGAGGTCTGGGGGACCTTACACAGTGTCTGTACAGCAGCAGGAACAGGAGCTGCTGGAACATAAAGCCCTGGGGAAGTATTTGGCTGGCACAACTGCCTCCCCTTCCACAAACACCTCTCTAAATTTTAATGGCTAGCTCAAAGCTGGGATTGTCAGCGTCTCGTACTATCATTGTAGCAGAAAGTAGCACCCAAAAATTAATCTGAAAGGTGTCTGCAGAACTCTCTGCTGCCAGTGGATGGGATTTAATTTTTTTCAAGTCTCAGCAACACACACATTAAATTGTTTCATTGCTCATCCTTTTGCCTCTACGAGGTAAATCAGGTGCTAAACCTGTGGATGGGATAGATTATTGGGATGGAACAACCACCTCTGTTTAAAATCCATTGAGAAGCAAATGTTACCATGCTCCCCTTACCACTTGTGGGGTCACTGCTGTGCTGCAGCAAACCCCCCCTGCCTGGGAACTGCTTGTGGGAGCTCTTGGGAGACTCCAACATCACACAAAGACACGACAAAACAATGATCCCTGCCCCAAGGATCCTGCACGGTCCTTTTTTACATGTAATCTTTGTTTCTTTTTCCTGAACTGAAGTGAGGCTGAGCAGCTTCAGCCTCTGGAGTTGCTTCATGGAGTTAGAGCTGCACAGCACCTTGTCACTGAGCCCACTCACTCCTTCCAGTAACACTCTCTTTTTGGATCATTACCTTTAAAAAACCTGAATCCCCAACTTCCCCCCTGTGAATAAAAGCAGAGTGTGTCATGCTCAGCCAGATGCACCTTGGATCATGGCTCTCAGCTGTGTCCATGAGATACTGGAGGCAGACAGCTGGCCAGGCAGCCTCTCACTGTGTGGAATTCATGCTACTCTATTGGTAGGTGATTATAAAAACAGCTTTTCAAGGTTAGTGTCCAGCTTTGCTGCTGCTTAGCACATGAACCAGAGTCCAGTGACTTTTTTCTGGTCGATACCTTATTAGTTCTAATTTGTTGGTTGTTTGCTCTCCCTTAGAAACAGAAGGGTTACAAAATCTGGGGGTTTGTAATTTTGTTGAAGGACACTTTGAGAGTCTCCCAAAAACATACCAAGGTGATAGAGACAATGAGCTCTGAGTGTGCAGAACAATAACCCAGAGCTAATTGCTGGTTTGTATTTTTAGTGGATAATCGAAGGCTGGGTTCTTGTAGGAGACCAAGTGTGTACCATACTGCTCACTGTGAGGCTTCTTACATGCCCTGCACAGACATGCAGACAAAACAATCGTGGTAATGAGAAAGAATCCACTTGCTGCAGACAGAGCAACAAAGACAGACTTGTAGCTGGGTTTTGTTTTAAAGCTGGTGCACGAATTACCTGGAAATTCCTGACCTGTTATCTGGCTTGACCCGGCTTTGTTCGAAGCTGTCACGCAAATGTTGTAAGTGGTGTACGGTGACAGATTATACAGAGTGTACTGCCTGGCCGTGGGATAAATATTATCCATGACAAACTGCCTGTCCTCGTTGCCTTGGGCAAGAAGCACCAGCTCATAGGTGTGAACAACCGAATTTGGGGCGCACCAGTGAATCAGGGCAGAGCTGTCAGTGACTTCAGTCACCTCGCTGAGCCTCGGCGGGTCTGGAACTTCGTCTTCCATCGACGTGCCCGGGCACAAACACTGGGACACGCTCTGGAGTTCACTGCACGGCTTCTGGAGGTGCCTGCAGGGGTTGTAGTCGCAGGAGATGTGTCCCACTTGCACTGGGGTTTCCTTGGGCTGTTCGTCATAGTCGTAGTAATCCACATAGTGTGCTGGAGCCCTTGTGGGGGCAGGCTCTGAGCCAGCATTGCTCCTGGACGAGTTCAGCTGCGGGGGACTCGGCTGGGGGGTGCTCTGTGGGGTACCCTCCCCACCAGGGCTGGCAGACGAGTGAATAGAACGGTCAGTGGTGTGGGGGGTTCCTGTTCCTCCAGTAGAATAACGACTGGTGGTCTGGCTGGATGGACCTTCCTGGGGAAATGTTGTGTCGGTTGTTCTGAGCTCTCCCTTTGGCTGCTCTGTTCCTGTTTGACTCGTGGAGCCAAACTGAGCAAAGAGCTCTTTGAGGAAAACTGGGAAGGAGGTTACGGATGCAAAGGAAGGGAGACTGCTTGTAAATTCGGAAACTGCCTCCTCCTGGTGGGAGGAGCTGTTGGCCATTGTTAGCACCAGTTCTGTTGGGGGCAGTGCCGTGCTCATTGCATCCCTCTGGATCAGGGAGCTGGTAGAAGTGTCTTTGGTCAGCACTGGATGGGCTGTTGTGCTCATTGCATCCCTCTGGTTTAGGGAGCTGGTGTAAGCACCTCTGGTTAGTGTTGGGCTGGCTGTGGTGCTCATTAAATCTCCCTGGATCAGGGAGCTGATAGAAGTGTCTTCAGTGAACACTGAGTTGGCTGTAGCACTCATTAAATCCCCGTGGATCAGGGAGCTGGTAGAGGTGTCTTTGGTGAGCACTGGGCTGGCTGTAGCACTCATTAAATCCCCCTGGAACAGGGAGCTGGTGTACATGTCTCTAGAGAGCACTGGGTTAGCTGTGGTGCTCATTAAATCCCCCTGGATCAGGGAGCTGGTGTAAGTGTCTCTGGAGAGCAGAGCCCAGTCTGTTGTTACCGTAGCAGTGGCATCGTAACTGGTAAAGTTGAGAGCATCTTGATCGGGAGAGGCTGTGTTTGAATGGGGCACTGTGACATTGCTGGTCCCAGACTGGCACTTATTGTAGAGCTCCTGCAGTGGAACAAGTGTTGGAGGTCTGCCCCCATCTTCCTGGGATGTGCAGAAAGTCTCCCCAGCCCTGCAGAGGGGACAAGACAGAACAGTCAAGATCCATAAGAACACTGCAGGCTCCTTAGGCTGCTTGGATTGCAATTGGCAACCTGCTGTCAAAATCAGTCTTTATATTAGAGGACAAACCTAGACCAAAGTTAAGTTGACTTAATGATAGTCCTGTGTTTGGCAGATGGCTCTCCACAGCACTAGCTGAGGGATTCAGCTGACTGGGGTTCTGGTTTTGTAAGGTGCAGGAATATCTTTCGCCTGAGAGGAAACCTCCTTTGGTACAAGGACTGTGAACCTTATCAAGAGTTCAAGGCAACTTGTCCTAAAGGGTCAGACTGTAACACCACACTAAGAGGGGAACAATGCAGAGAGATGTAACAGGATCCCCGGGATCCTGAAACCAGCTGGTTTAGGCAGCTGGAGGTGAGATGACTCGGGATGCGCTTTTAAATGACTAAGAGTTCTTTCTTTACTCAGACATCGAAGTTTTGGTAAAGAATGCAACTGCTAAGCCCATCCTGATGACAAACTATCTAATTTTAACACTCTACTTCCCTACTGTCTCAGAGATTTGATGACAAATCTACTTGGTGGTCTTTCAAAACCAAGGGAGATCATTTATATGCAAAGCACTTCTTTTAACTACAGCTTGTTGTAATTAGTCAGTAGAACTGTAGGAGAGCCTGAAAACAATAGGTGAGAAATGGTGCTGTTTGCAAGGGGTTTTATTGCCTGCCTGTGCTCAGTTTTGGGAATGACAGGGTAAGGAGGGAATAACTTGCTAAATATCTTGCAGAGTCTTCCAGTTGCTGCATCCAGTGCTGGCCCACCAAGCCAGCTCATTTTTTATCTCCAGCTAACAGAGAAATGTGGCCTAAAGTAGAAAGAAAATATTATTCTCACCTTAAAGTAGAATCCACACCTAATAATACTTTATTCTTTGTCCCTGAAGGAGACCTTATTTTGCATTTTTACCTCTTATGGAAGGGAAGAACACACAAGGAATTTGAATAACTGAGGTGGTGTGGAATGTCTTCTCCCCAAAAAACTTACACATTGAGGCTGTTTCTGAGGAGCCTTATTTTATCTCCTTGAACTCACTTACTTTTGGAGCACAACTCTTTTGGGCTTGGAGAGCAGCCAGGAGAGCTGGCAGTCACAGAACAGAGGGTTTCCAGACAGGTTGATGGTGATCCTATCTGATGAGTTGGTGTCCCAGGGATTAAAGGAACTGAGGTTACAGCTGCAAGATGACAAATGCAAAAATTAGCAAAGGCTGAGTTATCTTCCAGGGGCTGGAGTGTGCTCAGTATGCAGGGTGTGTAAGGCACAAAGCAATATTCCCAGTTCCCTTGGCAGTAGCCAGTTACTAAAATTGCCATCCCGCCTCTTCCGTGCTCAGAAGATGCTCTCTTTTGTCTTTATAGTGAGGGATGGAATCTAATGTGATTGTTTGCTTTAAATGAGTTTATTTTCCTTAAACTGGTTCCTAGAACACAGCCAGTGCTCTCATGTTTGTTTTCTAATGTGCTTATAACCGGGGCCTATATTACAGAAATCTTGCTAGGTGCTATTTTGATAAATCACTTTCAGACTTGTCTTTCTCTTTAGTATTTCAGGTGTGTGACACACCAAGAGGTGTTACCTCTAGGATAAGGACTAAACCATTGCTTTTACTAATTCTAAACAAGGAACTGCATTAACCTCTCACACTGAAAGTGGGACGGACAGGATTGTTGTCTGCTTCCAAGATGCAGATTTAACGGGAGGAAGAACAAAACAGAAACCAACTCACTTCTCAAAGGAGAGATGGCTCAGGTGAGGAGCACTGTCAAACATCTCTGTCTTCACAAAACCCAGGGAAGGGGAGTCCTGGCAGTGCAGCTCTTGGAGACCGGGCATGGACTTGACAAAGTCAGTGTGGAGGCTTCTTAAACGTGGCATCTTTGTCAGGTGAAGGGATCTGAGGCTGGACAAGTCTCTGGTCCACTCTGGTTGAACTGAAGCAGAAAAATATTTACACCTGTTGCCTAAACAGAGCATTCCTGTGGGTTTCTGCCTAGAAATAGGGTTAGAATTCCTAGGTATGAAGTATCTCTGTCATCCTCTGCAGCTGCTCTCTTTGGGAAAGGAATAGAGCAAAAATCAGTACAGCAATGCATAAACACCCATGCAGCTGTAAGTTTGTAGTATGTATGATTTTTAATTTGTAAAACAGGGCAGAGAAAAAGAAGGGAAGATAGAAGGGCAATAAAGCTGGTGAGAGATATGGAATAGCTTTCTTGTTAGGTGAGATTAAATGAACAGGGCTTCTCTGCTCAGGGAAGTGGTGGAAATTGGAGATGTCTCCAAAGCATCTACTGATGCAAGAAAGGCAAATAACTCCTCATTTCTCCTAGCACAGGAAAAACAGCCAAGAGGCATGAAAGTGAAAGAATGAGTCTGGGACAAAAGGTCCTCTCCATCCCATGACTGAATTGAGTAACTCACTGCTCACAGGAGGGATTAGGCAAATGAATGGAGGAAGTGTGGTGGTGTATCAGTAAATGGGAGCTGCAGTGACACCTCTGGCTTGAGGAGCCCCCAGGGCACGGGCTCTGCCCCAGGATGAGGGCAGCTGGGCAAGGCAGGGAACATCTGTGTGACTCAGCACCTCAGTTAGAAACTGGGGCTGGCAAGAGGAGAAAACTATCCTGTAAACTGCTCAGGGCAGGGATTGACTCCCTGTGTGGAAGTGTTTGGCTGTGGCTGACACAGAAAGCCTCTGTCTGTGATCCTTCATTGCAGAGGTACAAAGCAGAATAGCTGTGGGGACAAAGAAAGATTTCAACAGCCTGTCTGGAAAGAGAAATTAATTTCCTCCTCTGTGTCCCTAAACTAATCCCAGGGCTGACAGTGGGATGACTGTCAGTAGCAGACAGTGGAATTAGATGGAGGTGGGTGACTACACTGGGACAAACAACCCTGTCTCGTGGTGTCTGCCCTTCCTGTGGTCTGTGTGACAGTGCCGTGCACTCTTGGACCAGCTGTTTGCAGCTTCCAGTGTGGGGCGTTCCCCCTCCACCCCGGGCTGGGCCAGGATGGGAGCCATCACCCCATCATCCAGCAAGGCTCCTGCCACCTTAGCCTGACCAAACCCCTGTTTACAGTGGGAAATCCAGAAACTTACTTTTCTCAAGAAAAGTCCCGCTCAGATCAAGCACATTGATGGAGTTTCCAGGCCTGTCCGTGGCCTCCCTGGGAGCTGTGCTGATGGCAAAAGCAGATTCCCTAATTCCTCTGCTGTCCTCCTGCCCCAGCAGCGTCGCAGAGAGGTTCAACACCTGCAGCTGAGGGGAGCAGGAAAAAGCCAGCGGCTGGATTTCCAGCAGCGGATTTCCAGCCAAGGACAACCACCTCAGGCTGGGCAGGGCAGAGCTGTGGCAGGATGGCACAGATGACAGCTTGTTAAAGCTCAGGTCCAGCTTGAGGAGGCTGCTGAGGGCTTCAGGTCCCCACGAGACTGCCCAGAGGTGGTTGTGCCTCAGCGAGAGGACGCGCAGCCGTGGCAGGTTCGCCACCTCCGAGCCGTTCAGCTCTTCCAAGAGGTTGTTGCTGAGATCCAGGGTCTCCAGGGCCTCCGGCAGGCAGATGGGGAAAGCTGTCAGGCTGCTGTTGGTCAGCTGCAGGGTGATCCACGTCCTGTTCTTCCGATGCTCACAGGACATGCTGGTGAGGTTAACATTCTCCCAAGGGTCTTCCTGAGCCAGCTGGAAAAAGGTGGTGACATCCCTGGATGCTGCAGGCTCTGCTCTGCTCACCGGGCCAGATGTTGTGCTCCCCACTAGCAGAGAGAGGATGAGCAAGCCTGGAAACATCCTTCTCCGAAGTGACTTTCGATCAATTTCCAAAGATCTGTTTGGGTTCTGTTTCAGGATGGGGGAAAACAAAACATCAACATTAAGAGCTAAATTAAAATCCCTCCAGGCAACTACAAGCTCTTTAAAACTGAAACATTTTTTAAGTCTTTTCCTTTTACATCCAGACAGTGATAAGTGATAATTATTAGTTCTTCGGTAATTAAGCCTAAGTAAACATGAACCCTTGGGGACAGAAGTATCACACAGGCCTAGTCTAAGTGTGCCTACGGTTTTTCATGCAGGAAGCAACCAAGCTGTATCCCACAGCAGTACCCTCAGTGCAGCAGGTTGTCCTGCTGCAGTGTCCAGCTTGGGCAGCCCGGTGGGAAGTTTTCCAACGGGGTGATGCCCAAGCAACAGGGCATGTGTGCCCGTGGCAAGGGATTGTTCTCTGTGAGGCTGCCTGTGCAAAGCAAGTGTGTGGATCCAAGGGCTGGGGAGGGTTGTCAGACTTTGAAGGACAGGAGCCCAAACTGGGCTGAGTTGCAATGGAGTGGGCAGGTAAAAGTGCCTTTCCTGTGTTAGGAAGGGCTTTTCTTCCCTTAGCAGAAGTTGGAACAGCAAAGCCTCGGGGCTTGCTGGGCTCTGCCGGGGCAGTGCTACCCCATTCTGAGTGACAGCCACGTGGGGACCCTGCAGGTACTTTGGTGCTCCCGAGCAGCCGGCAGTGCTGACAGATTGCACAGCCCAGCTGCTGGGAAAAGGATGTGCTGGAAATGAAAATCCTGAGTATGCTCCTGGACCACAGCCCCAAAGGCCTGGGCGCCAAGAAACATTCAGTGTTCCAGTTCCCTCTGTGCTTCCTCCTCCTCCCGCCCCAGCTTTGTCTTTGTCATTTAAAAAAGAACCGAAAAGTCCTAAATGACTTGTGAAAGGCCCCGAAGGCCCCGCAGGTAATCTGTGTCACTGGAGAAAATTAAGCCCAGCCCTAAACTAGTGTTTTTCTTACTGAGCTGTCTTTTGCGCTGCCAGGCATCATTCCTCATCCAAAAACATATTACAGAGGGAGGTGACCGAAGCCTCACGTAGTATGAAATATCTCACTTATTCCAAACTTCAATAGCTACTTGCTGTTCCCTGAATGGTGCCAGGTGTTGCCCAGACTGTTATCCTTTGCTGCCATCCCAGGTCTGAAGGAGGGACAAGCAAAATAGTATATCCTGAACCACCCAAATAGGGTGTTTTGGTTGCCTGTGTCCTTTTTGTTAGACGGAACCATGATAGAGCCAAGCAGCCTCAGGGCTTCCCGACCAGCGGAGCCGCTGGATCCCGTGCTCCGCAGCACATGGCAGGGAGAGGATGGGAGGAATCGGACCGCTGGATTCCAATCTTGGATTTAATCTTAGTCCCTGCCTCTAAACCGCATCCGCTTGCACGTACCTGTCCCAAAGCCCCGCTGCCTCGTGTCTCCGCTCCGAGCGGCTCCGACTGCCCGGCCTTGGTTTTATACACTTGGGTGACTCAGCCGAGAGCGTGAAATGCCTCTTTTCTGTTCCCAGCCTTCCCTGCTCGCGGCTCTGCCCACAAGCTCAGGCGAGGTTTGTTCCAGGCTCGCTCCCCCGCATCCAGCTTTCCCCTCGCCTAGAGAGGGGGCGGCTCCAGGCAGCTTTCCCTGCTCCTTTGGCCCTGGCGGGAGATGGGTGGGAGGGCTCTTATTTCCCAACACTCAGGCAGGGCTGCTCCTGTCCGTCTTTGTCTGAGAGGCGGGGGGGTGAAGGGAAAAAGATCGGTGTCAGTAGTCCCAACTCTCACGTCTCCCCCTGCCAGGGGGGGAGGGAGGGGAATTGTTGTGGCCCTTTGTTGGCAGGTCAGGGTGATGTAAAGCTGAGGCTCTGTCTGCTGACACGGGCTTTGCTCTCTCTCTAGGCGCCAATAAAGGGCTTCAAGTGTTTAAAGTTCTCTCTAAGACTCTTGCTCCTGGGAGTAAATCTCAGAAATGTTCACGCAGGACAAATGACTTTTCTAAGGAGGCCCTTAGGGAATGTCAGAAGTGAAACCCTCACCTGCTCCTCCCGCAGAGAGGAATTCTCTGTGCCGATGGAGAGGGTGGGCGGCATCTCAGGCCGCCTGGAACAGCCTTGGGAGGCCTCTCCCGGTCCTGCTGGGTGAGGGTTGTGTTCCCTGCTCTGCATCTGTGCTCCACATGGCTTGGGAGAATTCCTTTCCCGTTACTTATCTCGTCTTTTGCTGGAAAAGTGGGATTGACAATGTGAACCATCTCCCACCAAGGGACCTGCCCTGAGCTGGGTCTTTCAGCATTCCCACAATTCAGATAATAATTAGGCTGATGGAGAGCTGAGAATAAAGTCAGTATCCCAGAAAGGGATGAATTGATAGAGATTGTTCCAAAGTGAAAGCAAAAGGGTGGTCTTTCCGTTGCTACAGTAGGACAATTAATTATTAAAATTTCCAAGGAGAACAGTAGTCAGTGCTTTCCCTTTATCAGGACAACGAAGCAGATCCCTGACATGAAGGCAGCACGGCCCCGCTTTGGTGCTAAAGTGCAGATAAAGGTCTTGCCCCAAAACCTTGAGTCTGGCTGTGCACATGTACTCAGAGCTTATCTATGGACAGTGTGGTTCATTATCTGCGTGGGGAGAGAGCCTTGAAAAACACCAGAACATCCCCAGAGCGAGATAGGGCCTTTCAGGAGGACTCCCTGGAGCCACTGCCCTTCCCTTGGAGAGATGTACATATTGTTCCCCCGTGGAATGGCTCCAGGGCAGGACAAATAGTTTCCTAAACGAGGGGCTAATCCCATATTAACCCTGGTGGAGCAGACCGGGAGCAGGGCCCTGCAGGCCCGGCACGTGCACCATGGCAGGTACCTCAGGGATCTGCTCTGCTGGGGTTCAAAGGGCACAGTGGGGCAGCTGAAAACAATCTGAAGAATTTGCTATAGGAGGACGAAAGTGCAACTCCTGCCTTCCCTCTGGCTTCCCAGACCTGCTGCACAGCTCCTCTTTGGGAAGCTGGAACGCAAGGAGGTGGCCTGGCTTTGCCCTGGGCCGTGAAGTGCCTGTGTTGTGTTTGCTACCTTTAGTTCGGTATTCACAGACAATGAATTTTCAGTAGTTATAACCCAGGGTTATTGGTTATCTTATTTTAACATCTTAAAAAAAAACCCTCCAGGAAACCTGGTGAGCCAAAACCTGCCTTAACTTTAACCAGTTCAACCTTACTGGGTTTATTTTGTCAGACTGGGAAAGCAGCCGCTTGTTTCGGTGAAGGTGGAAGGGAGGTGGAGGCTTTGTTTGCCCAGAGGCTCTTGATTTTGAGTGATACAGAGAACCTGTTGCAAGAGGCAGGCCACCTTTGGAAAACGAGCTTTTGCTGTTCTTATTTTCCAGCGTTGTTTCTGCTTTTTGGATGCTCAGCTTTAGCAGCAGGTGTTGTATCTTCCCAGCAAACTCTAATCATCTGGAATATGGAGCTGTATCTCAAGCAGCTGCCCGGGGCAGGCAGCAGCTCTCTCTCACCAGTTTCTTTCAAATATCTGGGAGCAGCAGGCAGAGATCTCCCCTTTGTGGGCCGCTTTTCCCTGTTCTCATGTCACCTTTTATTCTGCTCTGGTTTTTTCTACTTTTCCAAGAGTTTCAGCGGCAACCTGAGGGCGTGTTTAGTAAAAGCAGGCTTTCCTGTCAACCTTTTCATAGGAGTGATGCATAAGAAGCCGAAGCAGACGCCCCCTCCCCGGGGGTGATTCAGGGCTGCACAAAGCCCCTCTGCCCGCAGGAATGCTTGAGCTGAGCCCTGCATTCCTCAGTGACACTGAGATAAGCAGAGCTAGGGGAGAGCAGGAGTAGGCGAGGATGGTACCAGGCTGTAAAGTTTAAGAGGTGAATGTTTCGCGCTGGCCGTGATCCAAGTGATGGTTAAGGATGAAAATACCCTGAAAAAAAGTCTGGAGAATGGATTTTAAAGCCAACAAAAGGAATGTTTCGCAGGTCTGTCTGCGCAGCAAGCACGAGCAAGACATTTTGCTACAGAGAACATGGAGAGAATGAAGGAACAGGATTATTTAGCCTGAGGTTTCAGAAAACTATGGGTGTGTGTCTCTGCTGCAGGTGAAATTCCCTGCGGAATTTGATGTAAGAGCAAACAGCAGCCGTCTGACATCGGCAGGATTTTACCCTGATCTGGGTTTAACTGAGCACAATGTACAGAATAGGGCTGTGGCTGAGCTGAAGTATAAGTTTCCTGCAGGTTTTTGTTTTCGTCTAAACAACATTCCTGTCCCGGGTTTCATCTCTGTGTTGCGCAACTTCGTGGGCAGCCGCCCTTGCGCTGCTTTCGCTCACTCTGGGAAACCTCTCCCACATCTGGCCCCGTGGGATGAGTGACTTGGCTCCTGCAGACCCCCGAGCCTGTGGGCTTTAACCCTGGGTGTAAATCAGGTGGCTCATTGCAGGAATCAGAGAGCGTGATGAGCATTAAGGGGAATGTCTGGATCGCAACAGGGACGTGCTCGGTGACACGGGTGGGACTGATGACTTGGTGCTGTGGCTGGTGCAGCCTCCTTGGGTTATCCAGCCTGGAATAACAGAGGTGCAGGATGCCCTGGATTGTGCCTTCCTGCTCCAACCTCTCCAAGGGCTGCTTGTAGGAAGCAGCTGGATAAAACCAGATATTTTTTTCTTCATTGTTCCTTACCTGTGATGGAAAAGCCTTGCAATGTGAGTGGAGCAAGGAGAAAAGCTAGGTGATGACCTAAAGAAACAGAAGACAGCAGCAGGGGATCATTCCTGAAAGCCAAAAGGCAAAGGACAGGGCTGACAGCCAGCCTGGATGAGCTGGCAGAGCCTCCTTGCAGAGCAGTGACACATGGGGGAAGATTGAAGGAGGGGCAGGAAAGAACATGGAAATATTTGATAGTTTCTCCAAAATCCCAGTCCAGACAGCTTGGATTGCAAGTGCACGTGCTTGTTCAGCACTGAAGTGAACCACACGCTCTCACAATGAGAATTATGTTCAGATTTCCCTGCATTCCTGTGTTCAGGTCACGTAGGCAAGTGGCAGTTCCAGGACTTCCATGTAACAGTTGGGCAAGAAGCTCTGCTCCGGGAATGATGAGCAGGGCGCTGTGCTTCCAGGCAGCAATTTGTCTGTCACTGCCAAAGGAGGGGCTGCAGTGCAGGCACGGTGAGGATCCTGCCTGCAAAGCCTCAGAGGAGGCTGAGTCTGGAAGGCAGCTGTCTGTGCAAGAGGTGCTGGCACTACTATGAGCATTCAGCTCTCCCATGGAACCCTTGGGCACGTCTGAAATATGGCCAGTGGTTGGACTTGGACAAGGAAAACACTAGGCCTGTGTCAAGCAAGTGAGAAGTGGGTAAATCCTTTACTGAAGGAAACTGGATGGTGCCTCAGCCTGTGTAGTGTGCGCTGAGGAGAGGGAAGTCAGAGGGCTGGGAAGCAGGCTGTATTCTTTTTGGGTTTTTTAAATGTAAAGCTATAGTTTTACAGATGTAGTTTACACACTCCCAGGCACAATCTGGGAGTGATTCCATCGCAGCCCACTGACAGGGAGTGGAGAGAAGCAAAGGACATGGCCTAACAATCAGGGCTCTCTGTCCCAGTGATGTTTATAATTACACAGTGATTTCTGCAGCATGTCTTGGTGATATGGCAATACCTGCCCGTTGTATTCCTTTAGCTGTGTGACAACAGTTTTGGTTTTCCCAGCAGTTTCACAAATTCTCCGTTTCACTCCGTCCTTTCTTCACTGATCACTGTGTGTTGTAGGGTAGAATCAAATTTCATTCAGCTCAGGGGGAGTGTGTGGCTCCTTCCAGCAGGCAGAGCTGGAATCAGAGTGGTTTGGATTGGAAGGGATCTTAAAGTTTGTCCAGTTCCAACCCCCTGCCATGGGCAGGGACACTTTCCACTAGACCAGGTTGCTCAGAGCTCCATCCAGCCTGGCCTTGAGCACTTGCAGGGATGAGGCATCTCCCAGGGCAACCTGTGCCAGGGCCTCACCACCCTCACAGGGAAGAATTTCAGTGTGAATCCATCCCCCCTTGTCCCATCACTCCAGGCCCTTGTCCAGAGTCCCTCTCCAGCTGTCCTGTAGCCCCTTCAGGCACTGGAAGGTGCTCCCAGCTCTCCCCAGAGCCTTCTCCTCTCCAGGCTGAACAGCCCCAGCTCTCCCAGCCTGTCTCCAGAGCAGGGGTGCTCCAGCCCTTGGGGCATCAATCTCTTTGCAGTCTGCACAACACACATAAAATCATTCCTGCAGGAACTGCAGCTCCTCACACATGAGCAAATGGAGTTCAGTGAGATGTCACAGTGAAACAGAGCAACAGGGACAGAAAATAGAAAGGCCTTTTAACACACTGAGGCCTTTTTAACAAGCAAATAATTTTGGATAGTACCAAACTCACTCAATCCTTTGTAGCTTCTCTGGCTTTCAGGGAACCACTTCAGTGGATGAAGGTAGACATGGGTGCTACATTTTTGAGGAACTGAGTAATGACTACTTGAGTGTCGATAGCTCA